CTAGAACTTGAATCAAGTTCTAGAATCGTGGACATAGGCCTTAACGCGTGCCAAAATATTTGAGCGTTATTTCCATTTTAAATAACTACTGCGTGAAGTGAGCGCTAATATATCGATCGGCTACAGCGTCGAGATTTCGAGAATCGAAACGTTCGCAGCATCATTGTCAGTTGCGTCGCGGAGTGCTCGGGCCAGGAATCGCTCTGTGACTTCTACGTTCGTGTTTGTTCCAACGAATTGTATGCGCAGAAATCGCGATTTCCGACAAAGTGTCGAACGTTCGTCAGTCGTCGTCGTTAAACACCGCGCGTACAGTCGCTGCGACTCGACATCGGCGATCCGTTTCCATGCGCTCGCGGACGCGACGGAAGTCCTCTTCAAGTCTCTCGCTTTACTTCCCCGCGAAGCGCAACTAGAATGCCGCCAGGTATGCACGTGTATCTTCTGTCTTTGCAATTGGTTACGCCAATTACGCTGCTCGCGACTGATTCTGACCGTCTCCAATTTTACCGGAGCATCCCCGAGTTCTATTAATCGCTGCGCGACCCGAAGCCGGGCCGTTCGCAATTGTTGCTTTCCCGGCGAACACGATTTTACTCTTCGTACACACGCATACACGCGTGCAAATGGAAAAAGGACAAATACAAATTTACTCCTCGAAAACGGCCGCTCATTCGCGCGCGCGCAGTTTTCGGCGTTTGATACTTCGGGAGTCGCGACGTCGCTTCTTTATCGACAGATCCCGATTCGCGGCGACAGTGGTCGATGGCGGAGTCGTGTTCGAATCATCTTGTATATTTGCCGCGATCGTTTCGCCCAAATCCCTCTTGGGAGTCTCCGCAAACGAGGATCTAAAGGTAATGCTCGCGCGCGTAGAGGATTTATCGCCAACGTTTCTCGTCGAAGCGTCGAACGTTCACCGAAACGGCGCGCATAATCGCATCGATCGCGACCTCGTCGACTCGCCTCTGCACTCTGCAGTCCGCAAGGAGGTCGAGATCCTCGCATACCTCTCACGCCGTCGTTCGCCGAAATAACGTTAGCAACGATTATAACGTTAACACGTCAGCATTCATCGGTTTTACTAACACCAGTAGTTATAAGTACTGGTGTAAAATGTCGCATAACCCAGTGAAGGCCTGTGTCCACGGTTCAAGAACTGTGTCCAGGTTCTGGTTCCAAGAAATGTGCAACCAATCAACCTGTATCTTTTATGGAAAAGCTGCAAGTTGATTGGCTACGCATTTCTTGGAACTAGAACGTGGACACAGTTCTTGGAACGTGGACACAAGGCTTAAAAGCTGCCAGTTGGCTACACATTTCTCGGAACTGGAACTTGGACCACAGGCCTTGAGAAATGACTCGTTGATCGATGTCGAATCGACGTCAATTTGACGGCGTCGATTCGTCAATTCGGCATCGTTTCGACATCGATCGACGAATCATTTCTCACGGGAAAGCGCTCGTTAAGTCCGGTTTTATAACACCGGTTGTTATTACTCTACACCCGTTGACGAAGAGATACAGATAAATCCGGTTTTAAGGAAACGTGCAAACGCTAAGCGGGTTGTTACGATCGCATTGCCAACTTGAGATTAAGGCAGAGAACGATCTGTAAACGCTTAATGCGGGGTCTACAATGCGAGTCTCAGAGTCACAGTCGTAAGAATAATCGACCGTAATTGGTCAATTCAGTCGGACACATAAGAATTGACTAATCATAGTCGACTATTCTTAGTAGTGGTCTTAATTATTCGATGCTTCGCAACTTCGAAGCTTCGAAGAATCCGAAGAAACGAAGCAACTTCGAATGTCAAATTTTCAAAGTTTTCAAATTTTTCGAAGATTCGAAGCTTCGAATTTTCGAAGTTTTCAATATTTGAAGTCAACTAATGCATTAACATATAAGTTTGCAAAGACCGTACAAAAATTTATTTTCTTCGATTTAATTGTTTTTTTGAGCAAATTGACAAATATGTATCCGACAAAAAGTACGTTTGTTTTTTATACTTTGTAATGACATTAATTAGTTGGCATTTAATTAGTTCGCATTTATAATAAAAACGATTAATTTTGCAAAATTTGCTATTGTTTTGATCTTGTTAATACATTAGTTGACTTCGAAACTTCGAAACTTCGAATCTTCGAGAAATTTGAAAACTTCAATTCTCGAAGAATTTCTACGAAGCTTCGAAGCTTCGAAATTGAAAATTTTCAAAGAAAAACTCCAGCTCTAATATTCTTAGGACTACGACTCTAAGGCCGGTATTCATAGTCAGATCTTATATTCAAGACCGTCTACTCCGTAGCCAATGAATGTTCCATAGGGCATCTTTAGATAAATTCAAGACGGTCTTGAATAGAAGATCCGACTATGAATACCGGCCCATGACTTGTATTGTAGACTCCACATAAGATTGTCTTAGTCGTAGACGTAAAGCAAGGCAAAACGTAAGTCGTATACCAGAGCCTTTCACGACTTAGGGCCTCAGCAGAAAGATTGTCGTAACCGTTTACGACTCTGTCGTAAGGCTTAAGTCGGTGTCGAAGGTCAACGTACAACGAATTGTCGTAGCCTTGCGATGCGATGAATACGACACACGTCTACGACAATTCTGTGTGCGTTAACTTCCGACAACGATTTGCGTCTTACTATGGAATCGTAAACACTTACGACAATCTTTTCGCTCAGGCCCTAACGTTTTTCTCTGCCTTGCTTTACGTCTTGTACGACTAAGACAGTCTTAAGCGTTTAAGGATCTCTGCCAAAATTACGAAAGGTACAGCTACTGCATTTCTTTCGCACTCAGGATCAAGATTTCGAAATTTCTTTCAATGGAAACGAAACATCTCTTCGCGTGGACGAGCACGCGTTTTAGGAAGCTACAACTACAGTTGTTATTAAACCCGATTAACGGCGACGTGTAAACGTAGTCATTGAAAATGCAATCACGTGCGATTGTCGCCACTCAGGTATGTCATTCTATAATCAGCTGATATTTCTTGCGCTTCCACGTTTGGGTGAAGGGTTAAATATATTATAATTTACATTAAATATAGCTACAGGCTCCGATTGGTCTCATTGGTTTTACTAAATTTTCTGATCTAATTCTTGATTTTGCGCATAATTGTTCGAGCAATTACCAACTTGTTCTTGCTGAAATAACTGAATACTTTCTTCAAACAGCATCACTTAACGATGCATTTACGTACTAACTTATAATCTAGTGTAGGAAAAGACACACATTTCTGTGTAATACATATGAATAAATAAATAGTTTCAATATCCGGATTCGAATAGTGGACGTACGTTACTTGGTGAGAATATGCCGAATATTGTGTTAGACAAAATATACTTATGCTTCTTATTTAAACAATTTTGTTTCTCAGTAATCCTTAATGCGCATCGGTACAACCGAGAGAATTCGCAGGAAATATATTAACAGAAATATATTCAACCTAGATCTTAATATATATCACAATTCAGATTTTTAAGTTGTTACATTTCTAAGTAATATCCAAACTACATTGAATTTGTGAATTACAGTAACATAATTCTGTAAATCAAGACTTGCTAAAGGTTGTTTCGTTTCGAGTGTCTCGATCATTTTATTGCGAATGGCAATTCAGTTGCGCTAAAATTACTAACGAAGAAAAAGAACTTAGAAAATATCAAGTATTGTGCAATAATAAAAAGTTTATAAAATTAAAAACTGATCCTTTAAGAGCATTCAATTTTTTTTTGTAAAGAATGAATTTAACATAAAAATTAGCTACTTACGGCATTTTAAAAATAACATTTCGGTTTGTCATTGTCAATTTAGCAAATGGTCTGCGATCTCGAAAGATCGAAGTAATTTGTCTTAAAATTCGCATTTTCATACTTTCGAATTATATTCGATCGCAGTAGCGTGGTCTTCGCTACTTGCGTGGTGAAAATTATAAATCTGCGCACGCGTTACTGCATATTTCTTTAGCGTGTAGCAAAAAGAATGCACGGTAAAATTTTCCTAGGATATATGTATATAATTTGCGCGGCTCAATATCATAACGCGTCGATGAAGATGAAGGAGAAAGTCGAGGAGTTCCTATCGGTTCTGAGAACTAATAATCGTTCTCGGCCTCTTGAAGGAAAGGACGAATGGAGAACTCGTCCTCGCAATCCGGAATAAGCTTTCCCTTATATTTCACGCAAAAGTCCGCGCATTTTTGTCCCATGAAATACGTGCCGAACATCTTCCTGCATTGCGCGCAGTTTCGAATGCAAACACCTGTACAAAGTGGCTTGTACATACTACAGGGATATACATGATATCTCGGCAACGATTTTTAATTGATTAATCGTAACGTGGCGATTTACTTACCGATATTTCGCTCGGCGTCAGTCATGGTTGTCGTAAAGCAAAGCACAACGAAAATCAGGACGAGCAGTACGACGATTCGGTTTGAGGACTTTGGCATGACTGAAAGAAATGTAAGCGTTAACTCTTTAACAGCCAAAGGATTAACAATCAAACGCTGTACATACGTCCAGCAATTATCGAGATATTGGCGGTAAAAGCGAGTGAATTCTCGTTGAAAAATCGATTAAGGCACTCTGATTTTCTTTCGATCCTTGAATAAATCTTTTGCCGATAATTGATTAAAGCTTCTAGCAGAGCGAATCAATCGATTATTTTATGCTGATTAATATGGAATTAACAAATATAGCCGGTACGGTATATTTCGGTTATTGTTAATATTGGAAATACTTTCGATATTAACAATACAGTGTTAAAGAGCTAAGACCGTTCAAGAGCCGTTTAGATGAATTTATGTTTCGTAAAATTACCGTCTTATTTCCGATACTCTCTACATAAAATCTTTGCTTACGTTATACGAAGATGAAAACTTGTACACATGTAAAACGCATCGGTGTTGCGTAGAGCCGATGAAAGAGAAAGTAAGTCTAAATATAAGTGATGTCTTACAACACTTGTACAATGTGATATATTAAAACTACATTATGAATTCCGTTCGAGCCGTTCTTACACGCGTCGGCTGAATATCAATAATCTGCGATCGTGGACCTTTAGTGATTTAGGCCATATACATATTAGCGGGTCGCGCGTACACTGTCGTTTCCAAGAGATAATATTAAATATTACATATCGAATGCTAAATGAATCGCTGTTATTAATTTCGACATACTTATCTCGTCTTTCTTTCGCCTCGTAACTGTAAAAGGGAACAATGGAGTATTTAATTCATTTGTCTCTTTTTTTTTATTCGTTCTTCTCAATACGGTGCAATCTAATTAGGGCATAGTCGAGGGAAGAAGAGTTCGTCGACCGAGCTTTCGGCGATAAACGGAAGGAAGGGGGCGGCGGCGGGAGTCGGGGAGTTTTCTATCCGCGTAACGAAACCCCGGCTTAACGCCCGGTTGCATTTACCGTAGGAAAAAAATACTCCGAGGAGTACGAAAACGCGAAAAGTGCTTCCCTCCGCTCGCCTCGCGCGCCGTCCTGCATTTCCGGTTCGCAATTAGCACTCGCTCGGGAGGAAGGACAGAAGGGGAGACGACCGCAGCCGCACTCGATAATAAACTTTCAGGGATAACTCGGATATTAATTAAAAATCTCTCTCTCTCTCTCAGTCGACGAAAAAGCAAAACACCTATCAAACACGCGGTATTCACGTATCGCGTTCGCGGTGCGCGATACGTCTTTTACTAGAGAGGCCTCGAGGCCTCCCGTGAGGCCGCGTGTCATCGCGGCATGCGAAAAGCCGGGCGCGACGTTGGGCGGGTATTGTGGCGCAATTACTCCTTTGATCACGCGGAGAACAACGTGCAGACGTGCTGTCTGCCGCGACGCGTCGTCGTGACGCTGCCGAAGGTCCCTCGCCAGCCTTTTTCTACGTTGCCTCGCGAGAGCAGCGCGTCGTCGCCACTTTTTAATATATACGGTCATTTATAACCGGAATCTCTCCGTCGCGCTTCCGCATTCGCCTTAACGGCCACATTGTGAACGCATAAACATAATAAATATGGATGGACGGTATCCTGGCTCTCCGTGATGTCGTCAGTCTTTCCCTCTCTCTCTATGTGTCTCCCCCTCTTTCTCACCAGGAAGCACTTGAGGATTCAAGACCAAGGATCACGCGGACAGCGTTCGATATCGACGTTAACGCACGTTGTACGAACAATAACGTTGATCGGAGCAATCGATCGATCGACGACGCGGTGGATCCCTTTAGCACGTGACGAACGAATTGATGGGTTTCGGTAGAAAGCGGTTTCTCATCACCCGCGCGAAAAAGAAGAGGCGAATCTTCGTGCGATAAACCTTACTTGAAAATATGATTGTTCAAACCTGATCGGTACGGCAGCTTGAGAAGGTGAAGTTGTTGGAGTTGTTAAAGGCCGACGAATGACACTGAACGGACTTCGCCGGTCTTATATATCCGCAAACGCCGGATTCAACCCTCGCGCTAGGGAAACCCCCGCTGCTTATCTTCCTTTAATTCGATCTTTTCAATTTCCTGCACTCAGCGTACTGCAATGTCCTATGCGCTTCTATGGAGAAATTGTACATTACGAGTGGCATTTGCAATTAAAAATACTGCTGAACGCAGTATCCCAGGTACCTTGCTCTGTTATACAAACATCTTTATCCGCAACTCATGCGATCCATCGTGATTGGTAACATGAAATCTTGTGATATATGCTGTAACATTGATTTGATGTCGTGGATGTTTGCTTTAGGAGAAAATACAATCTTATAAATACGTATATAATTTAAACAACACCACGAGTTAAACAACTACCCAGTGAGAAATGATTCGTCGATCGATGTCGCGATTCGACATCGTTTCGACATCGATCGACGAATCATTCCTCACTGGGTACTCGAGAGCTTCGTTGGAAGTTTTACATCTTATCTTTCCTTAGGAAACTATAAACGTTCACTATTAATTGTAATAATTTTTATTATATTTATTATGGATATGAAATTAGCAGCTTATTTACAATATTTTTATTGACAGATATTTTATTAAAAAATACTGCGAATAATAAAAGACGTAAGTTTTTGTTTGCCTGAAATAGTGTGTGTGCGTTCCATAAACTAATTTTTTCATTTTACATTGTTCGTTGTAGCTTTATATGTTATATGAATGAAGATACATCTTCATATATTTCGCATAATTTTTCAGCTCGTTCTGAAACACTTATTTTTATATTTTTGACTCATTTATTTAACATAGATATAATTGACATGGATAAATCGATTAAAATACAGGTATAAATTAAAAGCATTGTTATAGAATGTATTATTTATATTTAATTTTTAAGTAATAATTTCTCTAATAACAAATTATGCAACACGATATATTACTATGACAATAAAACAGATACTGTCATGCAACACTTAATCTAATTATAACAATATTATAATATTACAATATATTATTACACAGTTATTAATTATTTATTCTATCTAATTCTAAACGATAATTATGTAACAACAAGGATAATATGAATTTAACGCATAATGTATAATTTAAGGTTATTTATATCTCAAGCTTCTTCTCTCGAGTCTTCCGTTTGTTCTTCGTTGTCCTCATTTCTTTTACCAGGCGATTCGTATTTCAAGCTCCAGAAGTTATTATATTTAATCGGTATCGCTTCGCCCTTTTCAATCATTTTGTTAAGATTATCATCTAACCTGGAGAAACGATCCTTCTTGTCTAAGATTCTCGACAGTGTTTTATGAATATCTTCTTTATTTCTCGATTCCTCTCTTCGTCTGTCCTCTTCGGTCGTCGAGTTGTCTCGCAACTGGCGCAAAACATCCTCCGTAAAGTGGCGAGACAAGAATTCGTTTTCCGTGTTGGCCGTATCGAACAATTCTTGGTCATCGTCCTTTTCGAAAATATGTTTAAAGAAATCTTTGTCGTTGTAAGGATCTTCCTCGGGCTCGCTCTCTTTCGTTTCTTTTCTCGCGTAAGAACCATCATTCTCCTCTTCTCTGTCGTTCGTCTCATCTTTATCGTCAGAAGTGATTCTGTGATTGTCACGATGATCCTCATTCTTTACAAAATAATCCTGCGATTGTTCTTTCGGATCCGTCGTGGCGTATGTCTCGATTTCTTCAGACTCCTTAATGCGATCGGGACTTTCCTTATGTTCTTTTACATCCGTAGTATACGTCTCGACTTCTTCTGACTTCTCGGTGCGATCGGGGTCTTCTTTAGGATTGTATTCCGATCTTCGTTCTTTGCCCTTTCCGAAAATATGCTTAAAGAAATCTTTATCGTCGTAAGGATGAGGGTGTTTATCGATTGCTTCGCTCTCTCGCGCTTCCTTCCTCGCGTAAAAGTCAGCCTCCTCTTTCGCCTCGTTGCTCAAAGCGACCCCTCGATCGTCATGGGAATCTTCGTTCTTCGCGAAATAGTTGTGCGATTTTTCTTTCGGATCTGTGGCGTGCGTCTCCACCTCTTCGGACTCCTCGGTGCGATCGGGTTCCTTATAATCATATTCCTTGCTAAGGGTAGCTCGTATACTTTTCAATATAGGGTCGTTTTTAAAGAACTCGTTATAATCAAATGGCTTTTTATATTCATTTATGTCAAAGTCAACGAAATCCGAATTTTCATTCTCCTCGGATAACGCGGATTCTCCGGGAGCCTCTGCGAAACTGTGATTATCTTCGTTCGTAACATCCTCGGTATTATTGCGCAACTTGGTGTCTTCGACATCGTAATTGTCGACGCATTCAGCAGAATCTTTACTCTCTGTGCAACTTGAACGCGAGTTGTTTGCGTTCAATGGGGTCTCCGGCTCGTTACTTTCAGCCTGCGCTGCTTTAATCTCAGCGCTTGGGGACTTTGAGGAGAAATCATCAGCGTCGTGCGGCCGTTTAGAGCCGTAATCGTAATCGCCATCGTCGTATTCTTTGTATTTCGCCGCAGTTGCGTTCTGATTACTTTTGTCCAAACTGTCCTCCTGCTGGTCGGAATAATCCGGTACCTCTACGTAGGGTATGTTTGAAGGATCGTATTTCGGAGTCGTGCTTGTCGAATAATTTGCCGCGCGCTCCGCTTGGTCCTCCTCTCGCGAGTCTTCGTCAGCGCTCTTGGCCGGCGTAAGTGACGATGTAGCGAGACTTTCTTCGGACGAATACGGCGGTCCGGGCTCGGTGATGATTTCCTGTGATGAATCACGCACTTCGCTGCTGTACCCGGTCGAATTATCCGAAGACGAGTGAGCGACGCGTTCGACCTTATCGGGGAGCTTGTTCAGGTCCTCCACTTCGGAAGCGCTGTTTATGAGTGACGACAAGTTCGGGTCGTTGCTCATAAACTTACTCAATTTTACTAAGTTTACTACTGGAATTTTTCTCGGTTGCCATTGGGTCTTATTTGCGACGCTCCAAAAGCCCGATATGTAAGGACCAGAATCGGATACTTGTGGCGAATTTATCGTATCCGTGATACCGGGTGCGGTTTCTTCGTCCGTCGCCTGCACCCGCTTACTTTTTTCATAATTGACTGTTTCTTCCTGGACGCACAATGGAGTTGAAGCCGCGTTACTTTTCGGGATGCCCGCGTTTCGTTTAAAACGAGCTGCTGCACCTACGTTCAACCGAGTCGCATTAATTATATCCCAGATGCGTTTATAAAAGGCCCGTTCCGGCTTGGGGCTTGTTACTTGCAATTTATCTTCCTGCGACTGCGAGGCCGCAAGTCGGTCTTTATCAGTGCACGTTGAATTAGTCTCTTCAGAATTATTTTCCAAGGGACTGTAATCGCCGATAATATCGGAATGAGGACGGGTACCGTTAATGTATTCCCAAATACGTTTGTAAAATACAGTACTTGGAATCGCTACGTTATTTGCTGTCTTAAGATCAGCCGTATTTGTACTCTCCAGACGTCTCCCCGTTGGAGGAGTCCTCGTTTGTTGCTTTCGATAATTGGGTTTCGAATACCGAGATTTTTTACTTGAAACAAAAGTTTTTTCCAGGTTAGTATGCCGCGAGTCTTTGGCTAAATTATTTCCCGATTCGAAAGACGAACGTTTCGAACGTTTCTTGCCAATTATTTTCTGAATATTTTTTACTGCTTCCAGCACCTGCGCCCTGTTTTGCCGTTTCTGTCGAACGGCCTCGACAACTGTTGTAATCTTGATAATTTCCATATCAAGAGACAAATTTTTATTTTGACTGTTTACAGGAGAGAATGTCGGTGTTGTGTGTTCATTAAAAATCTTTTCTTGCCGAAGTTTCTTCTGGGGCATTTGTAAGCGTTGCGTGAATTTTTTCCACCCAGCAGAATACGGATATGTCCACCAAGGCTTACTCGGCTTCTTTTTTAAACCGTTGGCTGCGGCTTTTCCCATGGATTTTAATTTACGATTGAATTTCTTAATATATACTTGTTGCAATGTGGGCTTAATCTCATTGTCAGCTGCAGCTTGAGCTGATTTCATTATGGTGTCCTGAAAATGATTGAGAAGCAATCAGCGACACTGAATAAACATCGTCCTATATGTATAACATTTCATTAAATCATAAATCAAACATTATTCGAAATGATTTCAATAATGTTGCAAAAATGTTACAAAGAAGCAAGTATTCTAGAAGTGTAATAATTATTTTACACGCCATAATGATACGTTATTATACAAAACGATTAGCAAAAATATTATTTGCGTGTATCGTCAGAGATGTGTTCAGAGATTTAACTCTTAAGGTAGACGTACTTACATTCATATTTTGTGAAAGCGGTGAGAAGTAAACGAAAATATATCACGATTCCATATCTTGCATGTAATTCTCGTAGCATTAAGCTGTACCCGTGCATTCATACCGTGTAAAAAAATCGTGCCATTATACGTATTGTACGATAATCTTAAAAATTCAACAGATCTTTAAACGTCTGATATTTTTATGAGCTTCTCTCCACCAACTCCCGTGCAAGTTCCACTCGGTAAATTGAGAATAATAGAGAAAAATAAATAGAGTTTTATTAAATGGCATTCTTATCAAATTGACTTTATTTGATTGCAATTATGTACAACGTACAATACAAATGGTAACTACATCGTTACAGTGGCGCAGAAAATATATCGTTTTAATCGTAGGTTCGAATAAGAGGCGAGAGATATCAGCTCTATGAATTTCTGAGCCACTGCTTGTGAATATTTACATCTTGCTTATTACAATAATGCTCGAAGCGACAATCAATCATCGTACAAAAATGTATCATACATTTTTCATTAATATGTTTGTCTACGATACCACTGTTGGATCGTGGGATTGTCAGATTGTACTAGTGACAAATATTACATTTCATTCCATTTTAATTAAGCAAACGTACATGTGCTCTCACACTTGGTAACGTTACGTTAACACGTTTGGAAAGGAAACTGTCATTCTTGAGAGGCTTTTATACGCAGCACATAAATTATATACGTTAAAGTTACTCTAATAAGTGATAGTCTTAGGCAAAATGGAAAAATAATAACGTTTGATCGCCAATAAGCTCAGTCACTGTTGTTGCGATAAATATTCCGCGAAACGCTATTCGAATTCTCACATTTTATGAAAGAGCCACTCCCTATCGTACTCCATTGCAAAAGCACTGTAGACGGACGTGTCTGAATTATTATTACCAAGCGTAATCATCGAGCGTCAAGAAAGATATTTAACATAATACACGTACGCAGATATACCGTTATGCATCTCGCTGTACATATAGACGTCGTTCGACTGTGTCTCCACGTTCGTGATGCGCTTCTTAGATAGTGCCTCAAAGCGCAGCAAACGACGTACATGGCGGCAGATATTTTACGATCAGGCGCTTTTGTCCCCCGCGGTGCACTGCGCTTATTTTCTCGTGAAGCCCAGATACGAAGCAATGCCGTTAATATTCTCAAAGAAGATTCGATAAGCTTGCTGCCCGTCGTAGTGCTCCCGTACCATCGCCGGTTTCACCGGACGCTCCTCCACCCATCGCTATAGTACAATAGGTAATTGTAGGTACTGATGTTGGTGCATGTGGCAGTCGGCGGGGAAATGTGGAGTTAGAGCGGTAATATGTGATTGCGCGTTCGTCAATAAACGCGCTCGTCTGATTCTGAAAGCTGTGTATGTCCGAGCACACGATACTTTACCTGTTATCAGAGCTAGGGGATGAATGTAGACTAGGAATGCAAGATGATGCGGAAGAAAACGAAGCGACGAGAAAAAGTATTAAAATTTAAAACAGCGAGGGAAATTTTACTGAATTCGTTACAACGTATCGACCTTACTTGGGCTAACAATACAAATACGATGACTCACTAGTCTATGAATTTTCCCCGTTTTCTTATTTGTATTGTTACTTGAAGAGGACCTGAAGTAAGGTCGAAACGTTGTAACGAATTGAAAAAAATTTGCCAGTTGGGTTGACAATAAGCTCACTGTTTTAATTTTTAATCATCACTGGCGACTACAAGTGACACTTTTCTTTCGTTAAAAAATATTAAATTCCATATCAAAGTTGTGCTATGTAGTATAGAAAAGAAAATGCTCGTCCCTCGATTTACGCAGAGTATTCGTTCATGTGGTTTTTATTACGCGGTTGCGTAAAAGGAGTCTAAAAAAGTAGGAGAAAAGCCCGTATACTATAACTGTACTTGTACCAACAAGATTATGCTCCTCTTACTTGTTCCTATTTGCCTCACCTGCTTATTCCTTTTTTAGTTTCGTTTCCCGTGTAAACGGAGGGATTTTGACCCCGTTAAGGGGATGCTGGAGTGATTCTGCACT